TGCAGCTTCGGTGCAGCACCCAGAAAAGGCAATACCATTGCCTTTGCTTGTTCCAGATGTCCATGTACCAGCAGACCCTAAAGCCATGGAGCAGCAGTATGACTGCAGTCATCCAACAGCAGAAAGTGACACCAAGGACATTTGACTGAGTCTTGAGCTCAGGCGTAATAGTTGCTTCATTTTTGTCCAGTGTGAAAGGTTACCTTGCTAGAAGCACCAGCTGTCTTGTTGGCCCTTCCTTGTGCTGTAGGAGCAGGCTATTTGCTAGCACGTAAAGTAAAACCTTACCAGCCTTCTTTAAACAGAAGCACAAATTGGAGAAGAGAAAAAACAAAGAAATGGAACAAGGCAACAGATGGTGTTAACTTAGGAAAGCGGAACAGAATGGTTAGAGACCCTTGCCTGCATTCATGTAAGTTATGTTACTGCCCTTAAGACTTAGTTCCTCTCTACCATGCAGTTGACAAATCATGGGGTCAAGTAAGAAACAAGTTTCTGTTAAAATGACAGATTTGTTCCTTTGGTACATGAATATTGGATTTGTTTCTGATAATCTACTCACAAAAGTGAGGCAAATCTAAATAAGTAATAAACCAGAAATATCTTCAGCTGTTTTACTCCAATTAGCAGCTTCCAGACCTCTTACTGAGCAAGTCGGATCCAGTTCCAGCAACCGAAAAAGCTTATTACTCTGATCCAGATACTGATCCATGCACCACTGCAGTGGTTTCAGCAGATTTAGGGGGTGCTGTTCCAGAGGGACTGACACTGCACTACACTGGTTTGGTGGGGAGAAACCTTACTGCTTATGGTGACAAACAAGACACATGAGCAAGGGTGTGGAGAAAGAGATAGTCAAGGGAGGTGTTTTGAAAAAGCAAAATTGGACTTGGCTGCATATTTGCTGATAAGCATAGCACACTTGACAAGGATATACTAAAGAAGCAAAGGTATCTGATTTAACACTGGGCTTATGCTGTTCTCAGTGGTCAGTCCCATCCTAATGTGTAGTTCCAGAAAAAGCTTTGCATGGAAGAGAAAGTCTATCTGTACCCATCCACTGTAACTGTTAGAGTTAACCATAAGGGTTAATTGTGGTTGGAAGATATGAAAAAGCAGTAGCATTTTACATCATTTCTAGCCTCACCAAGCAGTATCTGCTCCCCATTTTCAGCACTCTCACAGCCTCCCCATTTTCTCTGAATTATCAGAGATTAACAAGTGTCTTTTCCCCTTGCCACTTTGACTGATCTTTCTAACTAGGAACACTGAACAAATAGATCTGAGAAACAGCCTGGCAGCAGCAAGCAACCTTGGTTCACTGCATGCCGGGCATGGAAAATGCTTTGCTCTCCCAGGGACAATGTGAAAGCTACAACCAGTGACTCAGCATTAGCCCAGTAACACCTCTCCAGGGAATCTGAGACAACCCCTCCAAGCATTCCTGCCTATTTCCTGCACACAAAGGGATCAGACAACAAAAAACACTCCTTGTGACAATTCCCTGTCTCTAACAAATACACTGCTCCCATTAACTAATGATTGAACAGTGCTGTCAAGCTTTGCCCTGTGATACACATCTATGGACACATCCAGGGTGAAGCCAGTACTGAAAATTGTGGTTTTTAGTCTATCAGCTGTGCTCTGTGCCATGCAGACACAGCATTTCATTAAGCACAGGGTAATAGCTTGACTCCCTTAGGGACTTGCTGCTGGAAAATAGAACATCTCCTTTCATAAGTAGGCAAGGTCACGATGCACCACGCATTCCTCAATGCACATGTTCATTTTGGAGTCGATGAGATAATTGAGTATCTGTTCGTTATACATTTCATATTAACACAATAAGGTATCTTCATGTAAGACTAATTTTACAAGATCTGAGGAAAACCAGCATTATATTACATTTCAATGCCATCTGTTCAGCTACTCCAAAAGCAGTGGAAGGATTCTGATTTACATTCAAATTATTTTTTATATTTTACTCTTCATGTTGGATGCAGAATTTTAAAAAATCCATGTACTAAACATCTGAAAAGCACAAATTAAGGTATTTTTCCCTTTACACCACATCACCCTTTTGCAACTTACAGGTGTTTTTTTATTTAATAGGAGTCATCTTCCAGCACATTCACATGTACACACTGTGAACAAGGCTGTTCATAAATGTGACACCTCAAAGTTTAAAGCCTGTAGATATAAACCCCTGTATATAGAGATGTATGAAGAGAGATCAAAAATGATAGGCAATTTTTTTCAACATGTTAAGTACTACCAAAAATCAGGAGTCCTGAGAGCAGCTTGCCTAAAGAGCCTAAGCATTATGCAGTGCAACTTAGTCTGGTCAGTCTTCTGCTTTCATTTTTTTTTAATCCAAAATACTATTTTTATTTGTTTGTTTAGGAATTTGGAAGATGGCAACCTGTTTTTCTCTACTGCTCTGGTTCTTGAAATACTCTTTTTCTGGATGTGAAAATGAGAAATTCCAGACTATAATACTGGGTCAAAGCATAATGGAAGAGTTACTTTCAAGGTGCATGTGTAATCAGTCAGTAGAGATTACATATGGTAGAATATGAAAGTAAAAACAAAGCATATTCTCCTAAAACCAGATACAAATACCGTATTGCATTAAATCCATCAGCTCAGGGGGGAAAGGAATAATTATGCAGGAGAGGTGAGAAATTATATATGTACACATGAGGAAAAGAAGGGATTTTATTCTGAGTATTCCTGTGCTTACTCAAATATATATATTCTTAATCAGAGATCAGGAATATCAGAAGCAAATATTGCCTTAAGACTTGGAATAACCTTTTGCTGCATTTTATTTGTTATATAGCTCAGGGATTTCTCAAACTGAAGCATGAAAACCCAACTGTAAATCAAAGCGTAGTCTCTGGATTGTGAATGACTGATTGTGTGGTTTAAAGACATATAGCAAACTTAATTGGAAACAATCCACAAAAATGTTAAGAGTAATGTTCCTTTCCCTCTTCACCTGCCATGAAATTACAGCTGCTGGAATTAACAGTTTCACATCTAGCAAAAATACAAAGGCTGTCAACATTTTCACATGGAAACAACCCTTGAAGAGTTGGGGTTTTGCCTTATAGAAGTATTTTCTGCTTCATTTTAAAAAGATCAGAGTCAAAAAAACATCTTCTTCCTTAAGGTGACCGGAATGAGTTGTGAGCATTTTCTCGTTTCAAGGCTGCAGCAACTTAACTTAAAAGAGACTGGCCACTTTCCTTTGTTCACCTGAAACACACTGAAGCAGGCTGTCAAAGGTTCAAGGAGAGGTTTGAAGTCATATTTGGTGTTGGCATGTCTAAAACTGCTGACACATGCTAGGGAAAGAAGGGTGAGCCTAGTAGAGCTGCAACAATAAAACAGGTACTAGGGAACCCCACCTAGAGCTAACAGTAGCACTAAGCTGGGCTGGCCAACTTAAGAGATAAGCCAGCAATATGCAAACAAAGCTTACTGAAGTCCTAAAATGTAGTTAGGTTTGTCATTTTCTTAGTGGCTAAAAAAAATGGGGGCGGGGGGGGGCAAAAAAACATGCAAACAAATCACATTTGGGATTTTGTTCTTTGATGATGAAAACCATGAAAACCGGAGTCTTCAGTGATGAAAGCTGTAAAAACAGCTGAAAACTGTTCAGTGAAAGGAAAAGTAATGAAAAACAGTGCATTTGACAGACTTGCAAAAAGCAACCAATGTGATGGTTTCCTTTTATATCACTCACAAATCTTCCTGAACACGAAAATAACCTGCCCTTCTGTTGAAACACCCAGAAAAACAAAAAACAAAATCAAACTGTTGTTGGACATACTTCATATTTTTTAGTTTGATGCCTCAGAACATTAGGAGGAAAAATGCATGCCTTCTTCTTGACCTACTTATCTCTAAATTATCTATAAACCTATTTTACTCCAGTAGAAGTTAAGAGAAGTACTTTCCCATTCAAGTCTTGTTCAAAGTTTTAGATCAATACTCTAAAAATATGTTGACATATCTCATATTAATTCCAAGTAATTCCTTGCCTGCTAGGGCCAGATCTGTCCTGTCCCCTCATTTCACATCAGCTATATACAATTTCACACTAGCAGTAAGCATTAGCTTGAACTCTGGAACTTGTCATAACTGGAGGTGTCTAAGCTAGTTCATGACTTCACCAGTGTCCTAAGCTCCTGAGGGCCTTGAGATCCTCAGGCCAAGTTCACTCTAGATAACTTGGCTGGCAGTTTCTCTTTACAAATCTTTACATTAAATACAACAAAGGGGTTTGACACCAGAAATACGGATTTCCTCACCAGGGCGGCAACCTAAAAGCTCAACAGAAACAAGGTACATGGGTGGAGGTAGTACAGGTCTGTTCTTTGACTCACAGGTCTGTCTTAGCCTTTGTGTTCTGCTGTGAGAATCTTTGGAAAACACCCTTTTCGCATGCAGCAGTATTTTATCACCTCTTAAGTAAGATTAAACTGGAGCTGACATCAACATCAGAAGGTGACATATGCCCTACTATACTGCAGCAGTAGTGCACAGCCTAATATACACTGCCACTAGGCTTTGTCTTATGAAATTAATTTAATGCCCCAGTAAGGGCAAGGAGTAGGGTATGATGGGCTCAGCTTTGTTTTTGAATACTAATGTTCCAATATTAACTTTTGAACATGGTGGAAGAAAAAGAGTCCATGAAAGCAAAATGCTGCTCTTGTGGCAAAAAGGAATTTGCTAAGTGAATGTGCTTTTGAAAAAATAATTCTCAACAAACAGCAATGCAAAAAGAAAGACAAACTTACATCATTGCAGCATAAAATGCTGCATCACCTACCAAAAGCAGATGAATCCAGGTTCATTCATGTACTTTTGTTTTATACACAACAAAAATATACAACGGCTACAGCAGAACTGACTATAAAAGAAGTCCTTTGCTTCAGCCAGCTTGATGGATTTCATCTTAGACTCTAGAATACGTAACAGAAACTTACCTTGCATTTCAACATGTTGGCCACTCTCTCTTGCATTGACTGTCCAGCCTTTGGTCTGACAAGTATATAAACCGCTTTCACATCAGGGCTGGAGCGCAGAAGCTTTTCCATCAGTACTTTGCCCATGAAACCTGTAGCTCCTGTGATAAGAACGTTCTTTCCATTGTAATAAGCTGAGACTGAAGACATGGTGCTGATTTGTTCTGTTCTTCCTTTAACTTCCTGCACAAGGTACCTGGAAAGGTGCAGAAATAAAGCTTTAAGGGCTTCTGAGTTAAGACATAGATCAGTCATTAGGGAGCTATGTCTGAGCTAACCCTTTCCTCATCAGCTGTGGCAGCTCACATTAGTTCAGTCAGTTGCAATTTAAAAGATGATTTTTTAAGAAAAACCTACAAAAATTAAACAAGTAAATCTGAGTAGCTTTAAAAAAAAAAAAAATCAAGCTCAGCCTTATCCTCCCTATTATACTATAGCTGCAGCCAGCAGTCAAATTTGGAACACAGCTTGTGCTGTCAAAGGCTCCTAGCAGTAGATGCTCACTGCAGTGCTGAACAGCATTTCTCCTACACTGTGAAGTGGCACTCATAAAGATACGCAGTTCTCCGTACAACATAAAGAACAGATCTCACAAACACTGCAGGTGCAAATGCTCTGTTTTTCCCTTTAATTCCACTGTGCCAAGCTGTTGCATTTCTGGTCAGCCATCACTCAGCAGTGTGCTCAGTCTTTTCCTGTTGTTTTAGCCTGGAATAAAACCAAGAAGAAAGCTCATCTTCACAGAGGATACAGTGCAATGACATTGCTCTGCAAGACTGCCATACTATGCTCCTGTGTGTAGGTCATTACCCATTATTGGCTGTTAAGGCCAAAATTCATTCCTCTTAACTCTAAGGAGTATAGATGTCATGCATGCTCTGGAGAGCTTAGGCTGTCTGAAAAGCCCTTTGGAGATCCACTGACTATGTAAGGGGGCTGACTAGACAAGGCTCCCACATGAAGTGTCCCAGTTAAGTATTTTAATTAGTTACAATGGTTTTGGGTCTGCATGTCCCCAGCCATCCCAATCCAGACTCTAAGTTGATTAAATGACAAGCAAGGCTGGGTTGAATCCAGCTTCAGAACAGGCCCTCCCTATTAGACTAACCGAAAGAAAAAACTCCTCCTATCTTTGCAGTGCTGCAGATCACAGCATGCACAAACCACTTACATTGCAAGGAAAAGGCTTGTGAAAAACATAAATAACTGTTTTGAAAAAAGCCTGTTCAATTTGAAACAAAACCAAAGAACAGTGCAATGCTGTTGATCAAGCATTCAAGAATCAGAACAATGATCTTCAGGTACCCCAGAAAAAAACTCTTCCTCATGCAGAAGCTTCAGATGCAGTCACCTATTTCAAGTTTCTCAACATGACACCAGCCAACTGTATGCTAATAAAACGCAAATACATCAAAACAGAAATACAGCATTTGCTGCGTTTTTGCAGCCTTCCAAGATTCCCTGTTCTCACCAAGCCTTTTGCATTTCTGAAATCTACCATTCAGAAACAGTGAAGTGGCCTAACTTAGAGCAAATTTTGCAAGCCTTCACACACAGTCATCTTATGTAATGAGTCCTTGACTTGGACCAACACGAATTAACAACACCGAACAGTCTGAAGTACCATGAGAACCTTGGCATTTAACCTATGTGATGGTAGGTTAAATTCCCTTCACTGCATGAGATCACATGAGAAACATAGCTTGTCCTACAGCCTATGCTTCCCTTAGAATAGACTGAGGAATCTTACCCACAAAAAATGGACCACCATCTACGTGAATCAACAGTAGCACCGCAAATCAGCTATTAAAATGTGTACTGTGTTCCTTGCACTACTCAGGAATATACTTAGCTGGACTGGAAGCCCCAGTCACAGCAGTGAAAAGTGATCCACAGTGTGCAAATGTGCTGTCATTATCTGGGTCTACAGCTGATGCATCTACTCAGACCTGACTTTGCATTCCTACCTATCTGCCACTTTTCACAATCACTGTACTGCTGGATGGAAACATTAAATGTGTATTTCTAATGGGCACAGACACATAAACCAGGGACTCACACCCAGCAAAATATTCCCAGTGCTGCGTGGTACTGCCTTACATAGCATCAAATGAATGAAAATAACCACATTTTCTGATCCATAATGAATCATCAGGTGTGCCATCCAATTGAGAAAGTGGGTCAAGCAGAGTAACTTCTGAGGGACACTATTTTACAAACTAAAAGCTGTGAGTATTCTGACTCAGTATTAGGGTATTAGCCTACTTTAGATATGGCCTAGATTACCATTTAAATGAACGTAGCGGGCACATCTTGGCCTATTAAAAACCTGTTCTTATAAAAGAGGTGGCCACTTGGGAAGTTAAACAAACAGGTTAAACTGTTAGATAATTAACTTATTTATAACAAAATGTCATATCTCATTCCAGTTTGGAAAAACTGAGTGATACTAGAAGACAGGACTTTGCAGAAAGCAGAGGTTTGTGAAAGGATGTACGAGTACGAAAGCAGATATTAATTTAGCCAGATGAAGACATATGTGACAAAAGACTTAATAAATATAGTACAGCACATTCCCTGCAAAGAAGAAAAATTAATAGAATCATAGAATAGTTAGGGTTGGAAAGGACCTTAAGATGATCAAGTTCCAACCCCCCTGCCATGGGCAGGGACACCTCGCTCTAAACCGTATCACCCAAGGCCTCGTCCAACCTGGCCTTGAATGGAGAAGTCCTTACTCATTAAAGGCCATACAAAGTCTACTGAACAGAAGGAAACAAAAAGATGAAATACGAGACTACTTCTAGTCACTGTGTACTTGCTTTGGACTCATTCACAGGTTATATCCACCTAACCTCTCCTAATATTCTGCTAGAAAAGATGGTATATTTTTAAAGTACTTTGCACCACAAACTTGTGAGATTACAACAGTGCTTAACAGGAATTACTCTCCTTCCCACAGGTCAGTAGTGGAGAACATTTCCAACCTGTATCACTAAGCATTAGTGCTTTGCATTATAGTTGTAGACTACTGCAAAAATAACTGTTAAGATTTCCAAATGTGGACATCAATTTATTATGTTGTTTCATTTTTTCTCTGTTTCCCTCTTTTTTTACTTTTTTTTTTTTTTTTAATTTTGTTTCTCTGGTTATCTGAATGGGGCTTCATTTGGTTTGGCCAGATGTTCAATGCCTACTAGAATAGTAACAAAAAAAACCCAACCCAATCGTATCTCCTAAACCATTCTGGTATGATGAAAATGGAAACACCAAACACAGGCACAGAGAAACTGAACTTCTAAGGTAATCTGCTATTTTTCTTGATTACTGGCTTAACTCTGTAGGTTAGAGAAGAAAAGGTAAGAAAAATCACATCCTTTCAATTTTCTACAAGGAAGCAATCCAAGCCAGGCAGCATTTAGTTCACACAGCCAGCATCAGAGTTGGATCCAGTACCTCAGGCCTCATCCAAAATAAAAAAACATGAGGCCGGAAATGGTGCTTTTGTCTCCTTGCAGTACATTTTCCCTTTCCTTACTTAACTTTAGAAGGATATACAATAATCTTGTATCCATCTGATGCTATGCTTATCATCAGCAAAGAAAATATATGTATATGTTAATGTGCACAAATTGTTGTTTTGAGACCATGACACAAAAGCTACAATGCTGCAATCTGCTATGTTCAGTCAGATGCCTGTATCTCCACCGTTCAAGCAAATTTCAAGAGGCTTTTATTAGGTTCCAAACTCAGAAGCAGATTCAAATTTTTATGCAGGAATATGAAGATATTTCCTTTGTACTTACTCTTGACTTCTTTATTTTTCAGAACCATTTTGGGCTTTTTATATTTTTAAGAGTGTAATTTTATAACAGAATTTATTCTTCTGTGTTTTAATTGATTTTGCTTGGCTGTTGTAAATAAAGTACTGAAGAAGTTATAAACATTTTAAGGAACCAGAGGATTTCTTGGGTCAAAGGGTGTGATCCAAGTAATGCCTGTTGACTTCACCACTTAGATGTCTACTTCAAAATACAGAGAACAAGACACATACCTTTCTGACTTTTTACACTATGAAAAAAACATTGTTTCCTGCAGAAGGTTATATTTTCCTTTTCCTTTTAAGGAATAAACTGTCAATACAGTGCATGAGCTATTTCCTAGTAAATTAAGCTGCAACAGATTCAGTGCCTGGAAAGACAAAAATCTTCAAAGTCTGAACCACGGTCAGCAGTTGCAGTCAGTTGACCCTCACTGAGGCAAGGAAGGAAAAAGACCATTTCAATCCCTGAGGTTCCTGTCTCTTCCAAAAGAGACTGGAGGTGAGAAAGCCCCTGAATTGTGGAGAAAAGCCCACAAAAATGGCTTCTTGAAGCCTAATTCAAGTGAATAACTACAGGCAACTCTGATGGTTTAGGGACTATTCAGAACAGGAAGGTAATCACTGATGCCACCTGAATTACTGAGTGCAGCATCTTTGCAGCTCTATACTCTCTCTGGTGCTGACTCATCTCTAACCAGAGCATGAAAAAAACACCATTTGGACAGCCAGCCAGGAATCACACTGAGCATCTCTGCAGACACAAGTACACAGGCTGCTTTATGGGTAAAGCTCTGCTACTGATGCCTGTCACAGTCTCCTCTGGATCAGACGTAAAGGACAATCTACAGTGCCGCATTACAAATGAAGCCATGATTTTGCGCAGGGGCATGTGCCAAAGGACAAGCAAAGGGAAAGGTGGGAATCCTACCTATCTAATATTTCCCTCTTGAAAAAGAAACCTCTCATATCCTCAGTAGAAAAGGAGAGCTTTCCTCAACAAGAACAGATACAACTGAGCTATTAACAAAACAATTAATACACTGTCCTCACTTTCACATACCTCAGTGATGACAAATCTGCATTATGATTACAATGGTGTAATGATGAGAGTTAGACTGCCACCAAAGCCACAGCAATGGGAAGAGAAACATGTATCTGAACCTCTCTGACTATTGCTACTGCCACTGCCCAGAGCAGGTCCATGGTGGCAGAGTGCTAAGAAGAGAAAGCAAAACAGAGCACAGGCAATGAAGGATGGGTGAACTGGAACAGGTTAATATTTTACTATGGTTTCAACCACTACTAAGATATCCATGCTCTACTCAGCGAGGACAGTGGCCATTTCAGAAGCCTATCTGTTGAGCTATTTGCCT